TATTTAATTTTGTGTCATTTGAAAAATTCTCACCATCCCACAAAAATTTTCTTGTGAGCCTAAACACTATTTCTGTTCCAACTACATTATCCGAGGCATTATCCAGTGAGAAATGGAGGCAAGCCATGAAAATAGAAATGGAGGCCTTAGAGAAAAATCAGACATGGGAACTGGTAGAGTTGCCTAAAGGAAAAAATTCAGTGGGGTGTAAATGGATTTTCACTGTAAAATACAAGGCAGATGATACTGTTGAAAGGTATAAAGCCAGGTTAGTGGCTAAGGGCTACACTCAGACCTATGGAGTGGATTACCAAGAAACCTTTGCTCCAGTTGCCAAGATGAATACAATTAGGATTTTGTTATCATTAGCTGCAAATTACAATTGGCATCTTCAACAATTTGATGTAAAGAATGCTTTTTTACATGGTGATTTGGAAGAAGAAATATATATGAAGGTTCCACCGGGATTTGAAGGTCATCTAGCAGCAAACAAAGTATGCAGGTTAAAAAAGGCTTTATATGGCCTTAAACAGTCTCCTAGAGCTTGGTTCGGGAGATTTGCCAAAGTGATGCTAGCAATGGGATATAAACAGAGTCAAGGAGATCACACATTGTTTATCAAGCACTCTGATTCAGGGAGAGTCACAGTTCTATTAGTGTATGTTGATGATATAATTGTAACTGGAGATGATGAAAAAGAGAGAGAATCTCTAAAACAGTGTTTGGCTAGAGAATTTGAGATAAAAGAGCTAGGGAGATTGAAGTATTTCCTAGGAATTGAAGTAGCTCACTCACGGCATGGTATTTTTATCTCACAACAAAAATATGTGATGGATCTTCTGAAGGAAACTAGGAAGCTTGCATGTAAACCTGCAAATACTCCTATAGATCCTAATCATAAAATTGGAGAAGCTAATGAAGATGCTACTGTAAATAGAGAGATGTACCAAAGATTAGTTGGAAGACTCATTTATCTCTCACATACTAGACCTGATATAGCATATGCTATGAGTGTGGTAAGTCAATTTATGCATAGTCCTAAAGAAGTGCACCTACAAGCTGTCTACCGTATATTGCACTATTTGAAGGCCAATCCTGGGAGAGGTATCTTATTCAAAAGAGATTCGGGGTTAGTTCTAGAAGCATATACAGATGCTGATTATGCAGGTTCAGTAACTGATAGAAGATCTACCTCAAGCTACTGCACTTTCTTAGGTGGTAATCTTGTGACTTGGAGGAGTAAAAAACAGAATGTGGTGGCAAGATCAAGTGCTGAAGCAGAGTTCAGAGCAATGGCTCAAGGAATTTGTGAACTACTATGGTTAAAGATTATCCTAGAAGACTTGAAGATCAAGTGGGATGGACCAATGAGACTCTACTGTGATAACAAGTCTGCAATAAGCATTGCACACAATCCTGTGCAACATGACAGAACAAAACACATTGAAGTAGACCGGCATTTCATAAAGGAAAAACTAGACAGTGGGTTGATTTGTACACCTTATGTATCAACCAAGGGTCAACTTGCAGATGTGTTGACTAAAGGTCTCAGCAGTGCAACATTTCAAGAAATTATTTCCAAGCTGGGAATGAAAAACACCTATTCACCAGCTTGAGAGAGTGTGTGGGAAAACACTTATTTACAACTGGTTGTAATATTGTAATCTGTATATTTATATTTGTATCTCTAGAATTAAGTATTTGTATCCCTAGAATTAAGGAAGATTTAGTTTCCTAGTTTAACCCCTAGTTAGTTGTATATAAACCTAAGATTCTTGTATAATTGTTGATAAGCAGTTTTTCAATATACATTCAATTTCCACAAAAACTCCTATGAAACTACTTTCACAATTCTATCCCAACTTTAATACCACAAACAACCTCACACCTAGGATATTTGGTTGTACATCATTTGTTCATGTTTACAGTCATAATAGGGGAAAGTTGGATCCAAGAGCAATTAAGTGTATCTTTGTGGGTATTCATCAACTCAAAAAAGGTATAAATGCTATCATCCTCCTACCAAAAAATTCTGTGTTTGCAAATGTCACTTTTGAAGAAAGTAAACCATTTTTCACTCAACCTTATCTTTATAAGGAGACTTCATTCATGGAAGATATGGATAAAGACTTCTTTTTGCTTGATTTGTCATTTTCTTCAACATTTTTACCCATTAATTCTTCTGAGTCAAAACCTGTTTCTGCTAAACCCAAGTTAAACATTGAATTTGAATCTGAACCCATTCCAAATATAGAAGATGTGACAAAGGATAATATTGTTCTTAATTCTATTAAGGAATTACAAGTGTACTCAAGAAGAAAAGTTTCAAATCCTAAACAAGTGCCAGTCCAAGAACCTGATCCTAACTCTAGAAATGAGGTAACTACAATTTTTGATTCTGTTTCTCAAAATGAGCATAAATCTCCTAAAACTGTAACTAATGATTATAATCTGCCTATTGCCATTAAGAAAGGAACCAGAGAATGTACTAAACGTCCATTATACACAATCTCTAATTTTGTGTCATTTAAAAAATTCTCACCATCCCACAAATTTTCTTGTAAGCCTAAACATTATTTTTGTTCCAACTACATTAGCTGAGGCATTATCCAGTGAGAAATGGAGGCAAGCCATGAAAATAAAAATTAAGGCCTTAGAGAAAAATAAGACATGAGAACTGGTAGAGTTGCCTAAAGAAAAAAATTCAATGGGTGTAAATGAGTTTTCATTGTTAAATACAAGACGGATGGTACTGTTAAAAGGTATAAATCCAGGTTAGTGGCTAAAGGCTACACTCAAACCTATGGAGTGAATTATTAGGAAACCTTTGCTCCAGTTGCCAAGATGAATACAATTAGGATTTTGTTATCATTGGTTGCAAATTACAATTGGTAGCTTCAACAATTTGATGTAAAGAATGCTTTTCTACATGATGATTTGGAAAAAGAAATAAATATGAAGGTTCCACCGGGATTTAGAGATCTAGAAGCAAACAAAGTATGCAAGCTGAAAAGGCTTTATATGGCCTTAAACAGTCTTCTAAGGCTTGGTTCGAGAGATTTGCCAAAGTGATGCTAGCAATGGAATATAAACAGAGTCAACGAGATCACACATTGTTTATCAAGCACTCTGATTCAGGGAGAGTCACAATTCTATTAGTGTATGTTGATAATATAATTGTAATTGGAGATGATGAAAAAGAGAGAATCTCTAAAACAATGTTTGTCTAGGGAATTTGAGATAAAAGAGCTAGGGAGATTGAAGTACTTCCTAGGAATTAAAGTAGCTCACTCACGACATGGCATTTTCATCTCATAACAAAAATATGTTATGGATCTTCTGAAGGAAACTAAGAGGCTCGTATGTAAACCTACAAATACCCCTATAGATCCTAATCATAAAATTGGAAAAGCTAATGAAGATGCTGGTGTAGATAGAGAGATGTACCAAAGATTAGTTGGAAGACTCATTTATCTCTCACATACTAGACCTGATATATCATATACTATAAGTGTGGTAAGTCAATTTATGCATAGTCCTAAAGAAGTGTACCTACAAGCTGTCTACCATATATTGCACTATTTGAAGGCCAATCTTGGAAAAAGTATCTTATTCAAAAGAAATTCAAGGCTAGTTTTAAAACCATATACAGATGTTGATTATGCAAGTTCAATAACTGATAGAAGATCCACCTCAGACTACTGCACTTTCTTAGGTGGTAATCTTGTGACTTGGAAGAGTAAAAAACAAAATGTGGTAGCACGATCAAGTGTTAAAGCAGAGTTCAGAGTAATGGCTCAAGGAATTTGTGAACTACTATGGTTAAAGATTATCCTAGAAGACTTGAAGATCAAGTGGGATTGACCAATGAAACTCTACTGTGATAACAAGTCTACAATAAGCATTGCACACAATCTTATGCAACATGATAGAACAAAACACATTGAAGTAGACTGACATTTCATAAATGAGAAACTAGACAGTGGGTTGATTTGTACACTTTATGTATCAACCAAGGGTCAACTTGCAGATGCGTTGACTAAAGGTCTCAGCAGTGCAACATTTCAAAAAATTATTTTCAAGCTGGAAATGGAAAACACCTATATGCACCAGCTTGAGGAGGAGTGTGAGAAAACACTTATTTACAACTGGTTGTAATCTTGTAATCTATATGTTTAGAATTAAGTATTTGTGTCCCTAGAATTAAGTATTTGTATCCCTAGAATTAAGGACAAAAAATTAAGATAAATAATCCTTCAATTATAGGATCAGTTTTTAAGAAGATTTAATTTCCTAGTTTAACCCCTAGTTAGTTGTATATAAACATAAGGTTCTTGTATAATTCTTAATAAGCAGTTTTTCAATATACATTCAATTTTATTCTTAGCTTTTCACACAATTTTATTTTTTAGTTTTTCCACACTTTTATATACATCTATATACCCCATGTAAGAGTCTCATTTAAAGCTCATGACCAAGTCAAACTCTAATAGAACATCATAGATTTTTGAATGCTACGCTACTTAGCTTTACATACATGCGTTCAGACAGGATTCGTGGACCTTCATTTGACAGTCTAAATAATATTCCTCCCTATTCTCCACAACACATTAAAGATTGAAAAAAACTCTCCCTAACTCATAATTAATAAGATCTACCTCCCTCTTACAACATAAATGCATTTCCTAATTCTCTCCATCTCACTGAATCCGTATTTGGTATTCCATAAGGGCAGGGGTTCTTTCTATTGAGGTAGAATCTTTTTCTCCCTCATTTTACCCAAGCTATTCATTCTAGATCTACATCTTCTCATTTTCTAATTCCAATCCATCATCAATTAGGAAAATCAATAATAGTGACAAAATTTCACAACTATAAAAGACTTATTAATCATACGAATTTGAATTTATCGCCAACAACTTGGCTGATGAAGGGCAAAATAAAGCATCTTCCAGATGGAGGTAAGGAAATAAAAAATATATATCTTTTAGAAAGCATACCATGAGATGATATCATCAAACATGTCACCCTTCTGGAGCATCTTCAACAAAATGCCCAACAATGGATTAATTTGTTTATTGACTTGAGATCCTCGATGGGGCAGAAAACTCTTCACAAGCATCTTAAGGGCATAAATCTGCAAAGGATAGTCATTAAACTAAGATAGCTATAAAGAAACTACCAACCAGTGAAATGAGATTTCCAAACATCTAAGGCAGCATCCTAAGATCATCATATCATTGTTGGATTAGATCATGACAATTTCTGATTTCAGTTCTCCCATTATGCCGTTGAATTTGTAGTTCTTGCTAGTAGTAGCTCACCATCCCTAAATATAACAATTATTCTCACAAGAATTTCAACCATTGAATAAACATCTACATCAAAACTCCACTTCACACAACGACATAGAGAATAACAAGAATGCCATCTCCTATCATGCAAAATGTAGACTTCACATAAAAAATGATATTTCTTTTTATCATAAAAATATGTGGTACTGCATATTTTAGGACTCTATCCTCAGAAAAGGAAAATCCTATCTTTTCTCGTCCTTATAGCTTGAATTCAGATTGGGAGTACGAATATAATTACAGCCTATGGACCACACAGATTAGTTTTCTTCTGAAAATCTAATAAATTCGATCAGAACACCAAAAGCTTAAAATATAATTCATTGAATCAGAAATAGTTTATTTCTGCAGTTTGTTGGTTCTTTATCAATAAGAGCAATCTAAATGTCAGCTTTGTCTAGAAACAACCTGGATAAGGGATCAGAAGAGTTTTTGAAGAAACCAACACATTTCAAGATCCCACTGACTGAGTATTTGAGGGTATAAGCAGTTTAAGCACCACTAGCAATTTACTTAATGCAACCACTGACCAAGAGAAAAAATGGCATATCGACTAATCTGTTAGTTAAAAGTTAAAGCTAACAGACTTGCACTCATCATGAATCCAGAACAGTTTAGTAGGAATACAATCTCCTTATATTTCAGATCAGTATCAATCCGAGTCTAGTCCAGTGACCAATTCAACTCTCAATTTGAAGGACAAATGGGATCTTGTTATGCTCTATATAACTCTGTACATGCCTCACCATGGCATTAGTACACAATTTACTTCCCCAAAACTAGACATACATACTGCATATGCTAACAGCCTTACTAGAATGTTATCAATGTCACCACATGAATTTGAACCAGGACTCAGAAAAACTATACTTAAAAAGTTATATTAACCTAATCATAACACATTTGTGAATTTGTAAATTGAAAAACACCATTTAGAGAAAAGTGCCAAAGTAACAATATATCCATTCACACCCAGGAAATTCTTTTTCTTTTCCATCTTTGCAATAGTAGAAGTATGATCAGCATGGGTTTTGGAATCCATCATTGCTGTTTCAAAAGAATGCTGAAAAATAAAAGAAAACTTTGATGATCTCAGCTTGCTAATAGTTTTATAAATTGAGCAAACCCTTTGTATACAAGCAGTAGACCCTACTAAAGCAACCACTAGCATCCATTCCCATCTTAACAAAACTCATTCACAACTCTTCCCAGTAAAAATTTTCTTGTTTTGTGGTGAAACACAATAAGAATATATTGTTTGGTTCCCAAGCTGAATCTAACTTGCTTTCAGTCACTTGATCATCATTTAACTGAATTCTCCTTAAAATTTGCATTTTAATCAGTTTATACCAATGCTACACGTGAAAGATAAAATCCAGATCTTAATTATTAAAACATCAAACTCCACTGAAAAGGAAATGCAAATATCATTAATTAATACTTACATGGGAAAGTTTCCTCTTCCAACACTCACCTTTAATTTGCAAGTAATACACTCAGAGCTATCCTCAATGACAGAAGGATCATCCAATGATTTTGCCTTCAGAAATAAATTCAAATTAGTTATCACATAAAAATTACCAAAAGCAAATCAGATGCTTCATCCACTAAATTCTAGGAAGACACGAGGCAAGAAGAAATCAATTACCTGAAAAATCTTTTTATAAACATGTCGTGTGATTTCTCTATCATGCTCTTCAAAAGCTGAAACAGAACATTGAGCAATACAGCCCAAAGACTGCAAAACAGTTGCAACATTCTGCCCACGATGTAGAGAATCAACAAGTTCCTGAACATGAACAAATAAAATATTGGCATGGTCATCTAATGAGTCCTCAAGCTAGCATCAATTGGTGCTTTGACAATGTAGCATTTTTACCTTTTTGTTTGTAAACTTGGAAAACACAATTCGGATTTCCTAGTTTTTTTTTTTTTTTGCAACTTATCACCACGGGCAACCCTCTTGAGCCCTAAAATGCACACAAATTACATAACTACTGCAGACCTAAGTTAGAATCAGGCTTCAATTATAAGTTGGGACTACTGTTGAATGCTTTCGCTAGGACTGATACCAGCTTAATTGGAGACCACATCTTAAGGTATATTGCTAAATTGACTAAATTGACATTACAAAAGTAATTAAAAATGTGGCACATGACATATTAAAGTAATGAGTGACAGTGACCAATAAATTGGATGTAACTTTGAAACAAATTTCACCTTCCCTTTTGACTTTGAGTGCATTTAAGAGACAACAAAAACATTAATCAACGGCATGTAACTTCACATTCGGCGAAGTTTACTAATACAATTAAATGAAATAGCAATTAACCAAAAAAAGGTTGAGGGCTAGCTTTTCAGCTTATTGCTAAGAGTATCTCAAGGTTAAATTTAAAATCAAGATGCTGTGCCTATTCCTTGTTTTCCTTTTTTGCAACATCTTGTTAACCTGCCGTGCCAGGCATACATCATCTTTCACTACTTTTAGGTTTTATACTTTTATAAGGAAACTGTAACTAAAGAAAAGTTGAGATAAGCACACCTCACACAATTCTGATAAAACATATTGCTTAGACACATCTATTAATGAAGCAACTGCAGAAACAGCATTTTTTGACTGAGTGCGAGTTCCCTCAAGACAGATCTTCTTCAAAACAGGGTAAAAATCACTGCATGTGAAGAACAATGCTAAGAGTTAAAGAAAAGGTTGCATAGAAGCGAACAAAAAATTTGAAGGATCATTAGAATGCCAGAGCAAAAATAACTCAAGAAACTTAATGCCTCCCAAACTAATTTGACACCAGCCTCACTGTTTTGAGCAATTAGCCAATAACAAATTTTAGATATACGCTAAATCCCTATTTCAAATTGTTGAGAGACGCAATTGGGAGAAAGAATGTTTTCTTTTAATTAATCAAATAGGTTACAACAGATAATTATATACACAATATCGTAGCCTAAAAACAGTAACAAAATCCCTACAAAATAGGAAACTGCCCAACCGGTGCATACCCCTAACCAAAATCCTACAAATTAGGAAATCACACAAAATCCTCTATAGTCACACGGCTTTCCTAATAAAGCCACATAATTTGACACTCCCCCTCAAGCTGGTGAATGGATATCCTCCATTCCAAGCTTGCTAACAATATCTTAAAACACAATGCTTCACAGCCCCTTTGTAAATACATCTTCCTTTGATGAAACAAATGGAGTACACATTAGGCTGCTATCAAGTTTCTCCCTGATAAAATGTCTATCAACTTCTATATGCTTTGTTCAATCATGTTGAACAGGATTATGAGCAACTGATGGCAGATTTGTTGTCATAGTATAATCTCATTGGTCCTTCCCATTTTATCTTCAAATCATCAAGAATTATCTTCAACCATAGTAGTTCACATATTCCCATTGCCATTGACCTAAACTCATACTTTGCACTTGATCTTGCCACCACGTTTTGCTTCTTACTCCACGTTACAAGATTTCATCCCAAAAGGGTACAATAACCTGAGGTCAACCTCCTGTCCACCAAAGATCCTGCATAATCAGCATCAGTATAGGCCTCTAATGTCATGCTTTCTCCTTTCTTGAACAAAATACATCTTCCGGGGTTGCCATTCAAGTATTGTAATATTCTATGAACTGCCTTAAGATGCGTTTCTTTAGGATTGTGCATAAATCTGCTAACACTCACAACAAATGCAATATCTGGTCTCGTATGTGCCAAATAAATCCACCTCCCAACTAGCCTCTGATAAAAGCCTTTATCGACCGGGGATCCTCTAGAGAATCACATAATCCATGATTGAACTTAATGGGTGTGTCAACGGCTTACAACACAACTTCCCTGTTTCTTTTAGCAAATCAAGCACGTACTTTTGCTATGAAATAAAGATCCCTTGTTTTGAATGTGCCACTTCAATACCTAGGAAGTATTTCAATTTCCCAAGTTCCTTGATGTCAAATTCTCTCAAAAGGCATCGTTTTAAATTGTCCATCTTTCCTGCATCATTACCTGTTACGATAATATCGTCTACATACACCAACAAGGTTATCACTTGTCCTAAAACAAAGTGTCTCACAAATAAAGATTGATCGCCTTGGCTCTATTTATATCCCAAGTAGGTCATCGCCTTGGTGAATCTTCCAAATGAGGCTTTCAATGATTGTTTAAGTTCGTGGAAAGCTTTCTTCAACTTGCACACCATTCCTTCTTTAGATTCAAATCCAAGATGAACTTCCATGTAAATCTCTTCCTCTAGGTCACCGTGGAAAACTACATTTTTAACATCAAACTGTTGTAGATTCCACCCAAAATTACCAAGCAAAGAATAAAAGAACCAACACTGTATTCATCTTCACAACAAGGGCAAGCATCTCAAGATAACCAATGCCATAGGTTTGAGTGTACCCTTTGGCAACCAACCTTGCCTTGTATCTTTCTATGGAATTGTCGGACTTGTACTTCACAGTGAAAACCCATCTACATCCAACCGGCTTCTTTCCTCTCGACAATTTGTCCAACTCCCATGTCTTGTTCTTTGCAAGAGCTTCCTTCTCCACTTTCATAGCATCCTCCCACTTCTTGTCCCCTAACGCCTCAGATAGGTTTCTCAAAACGTGTATTGCCTGAAGGTTGCTTAAGAATGCTTTAGGTCACCGTGGAGAATTGCATTTTTAACATCAAACTATTGTAGATTCCACTCGAAATTGGCAGCCAACGACAAAAGAACCAGCACTGTATTCATCTTCGCAACAAGGGCAAATGTCTCAAGATAATCAATGCCATAGGTTTGAGTGTGTCCTTTGGCAACCAACCTTGCCTTGTATCTTTCTATGGAATTGTCGGACTTGTACTTCACGGTGAAAACCCATTTACATCCAACTAGTTTCTTTCCTTTCGGCAATTTGTCCAACTTCGATGTCTTGTTCTTTGCAAAAGCTTCCATCTCCACTTTCATAGCATCCTCCCACTTCTTGTCCCATAATGCCTCAAGATAGATTTCTCGAAATGTGTATTGCATGCAGGTTGCTTAAGAATGCTCTATGGTTTTGAGATAGGTTTTGGTAGGTTAAGAATAGGTACAAAGGATGTTTGGTACAAGTTCTAGTTCCTTTCCTAAATGCAATTGGTAGATCGACATCACTTTTTTTTTTGTTCATCTACTAGTTCAATGGGCTCAATTGATAGTATGATATTTTCGATGGGTATGAAAATGGTTTCAGGAACCTGAGCAACAGCACAAATAAAAGGTTGTACCTGTTCCAATCGAGAGATTAGAATTTTCTTCCTGGAATAAACCTGTAGTGGTTGAATATTGTCTTGTTTCCTCTTACCTTTCATCACCTCACATGACTTAGATGACTCAACAAATGGTACAAACTCAACTAGTAACTCAACAAATGGAGTAGTAGGTTGAACAAGTGACTCAACTGATGACTCAATAAATGCGGACTGAACAAGCACTAAAACGACTTCAAATGGAAACCCAACAAGTTGGCTAGGAAAATCAAAGAGAAATAGGTCCTTCACTCTATCTTCACTCAACTTCTCCCTCGAAAGATAGGAACGTTGGAAAAAGGACTCATTTTTTACAAAAGTAACATCAACGAAGACAGTTTTTTGGTAGGTGGATAGTAACACTTGTACCCCTTTTGTATGGAAAAGTAACCAATGAAAATACACCGAAAAGCACATGGATCATGTTTTCCCCTATTTCCCCATATAATTAAAACAGCTTCTCCCCAATATATTTTAAGAACATTTTTGTGAAACAATAAAACTCTTATGACATCTAGAAAATGGCCATTTTTACACTCAGCCACTCCATTTTGTTGTGAGGTACTAACACAAGAAGACTCATGAATGATTCCTTCTTTTTGAAAAAAAGAAGAGAGAATTTGATTGAAATAATCCTTGGCATTATCAAAATGAAACCGCTTAGTTCTCACGTCAAACTGTGTTTTGATCATGTTGTAGAAATTAGGAAAAATAATACCAACATCATATTTATTTTTCAAAAGATAAATCCATGTTACTCACATACAATCATCAATAAATGAAACAAACCACTTAGCACCAAAAATATTTGAAATCGTAAAAGGTCTCCAAATATCACCATGAACAAGAGAAAAAGGATTAAAGGTTTTTGTATTGCTTATTGGAAATGAAGCACAATTGTACCTAGCAAGTTCACAATCATTACAATGAAAAGACTGAAAGTAAACCCTTTAAATAACGAAGAAAACATCAACTTAAGGACATTAAACGATGGATGACCTAAACAACAATGATAAAGCCAAATTTTATTTTTATTTGACATGACAGACCCAAAAAGAAATGATGTAGATAGAGGATTCTTAAATCTAGTTCTTCCATTTTGATCTTCTAAGTAGTAAAAATCATCCCTCCCACTAGCACGTCCAATCGTCCTCATGTCTTGCTCTTAAAGCGCACAATGTGAAGCAAAAAACGTTACATTGCAATTGGAATCTTGGTAAGCTTTTGAATGGAAACAAGATTCACAAACAATTTTGGAACATGAAGGACATTTTTTAGCATGAAAGAATCACTTATATAAATGTCCCCTTGACCGACTAAAGTGGTAATGGATCCATCAGCTATAGTTATTTTCCTATGACTAGAACTAGGAGTATACGAAGAAAAAATCTTAAGAGGAATAGGTCATGTGATCAGTGGCTCCAAAATCTATCACCCAAATCTTTGGAGAAATTTTTTCTAAGACATTAGCAGCACAAAAAGAGGAAGAGATACCTAAAAATGTCTAAGAACATGCACCTGCCAAAGAACGTTTCTCAAACGTCCCCAAAAAATTCTTCAATTTTTCAATCTCTTGTTTAAATTAGAGATCGAACTTTGGAAACTCCCTTCATTGCTCGATTGAATGCTTGCCACATGTGCTTGACCTCTATCATTTGCACTTTGTTTGGGCCTGCCATGGAGTTTCTAGCATTGCTCCTTAATGTGGCAATGCTTCTTGCAATACGTGCAAAATAAGGACTCTCAATTGATGGGCTTGGACGACAGATTGCAGCAGGCTAGATTCCTTCAAACTGATTGTTTTGGTCACAAGGGTAAAACTACCTCCTCTGTGGGTCTCAAGCATAACACTTTGTCGTCCCTCTTCCGCTCATATGATCGAAATTGTCTCATTCAAGGAGGGCATGTCTTTTTTTCCTAAAATCTGCACTCTAATGACATCAAACTCGGCATTTAGACCGGCAAGAAAGTCATAGATATGATCCTTCTCCACGAACCGCTTCAGAATAGCGGCATCCTCACTGCAGCGCATTTGAATACATTGATAATGGTCCATCTCCTGCCACAAGCCTTGCAAGAAACTCGAATATTCCGTGACAGTTCGAGTCTCTTGTTTGGTTGCTGAAATTTTCGTCTTAATTTCATAGATTTAGGTATCCCAAATCTCCTTGGTGGTTCCAAGAAACACGTATCGCTAATTTCTGATAGCATCAAATTCCATAACGACTACATTACCATTGAATCCTATTCGCCCCATGCCACAAATTTGGGATCATCCTTCAAAGGACCTGTGCCCAACAAATGCCTCAATTTTCCTCTGCCTTTCAAGAACGTGCGGACCAATTGTGACCACTTCAAGTAAGTTTTTCCGTTCAATCGATACGTTGCTTGAATGTTTTGTAAATCCCCAGTTGATGCAGCAGCAGTATTCTAAGTTTTAGAGGCATCTGAGACGGCTGGTTTCGATGGACTCTAACAAACTTGCTTGAAAGGAAAGAGAAGACCACAAACAGGAGAATGAGTGAAGAAATGAAAAATATTGGGATGAACAAAGATGAAGGAATTCGGCCAGAATAGAATAGAAGCGAAGAAAAAGGAAATTTCAGGAATTCTCAAGAAAGAGCCAAAAGCTCTAGTACTATGTTGAGAAACTTAATTGGGAGAAAAAATGTTTTCTTTTAATTAATCAAATAGGTTACAACAGATAATTATATACACAATATCATAGCCTAAAAACAATAATAAAATCCCTACAAAATAGGAAACTACCCAACCAGTATATACACCTAACCAAAATCCTAAAAATTAGGAAGTCACACAAATTTCTCTGCAATCACACGGCTTTCCCAATAAAGCCACATAATCTGACACAGATTACAGGGTGTATAATGTTATCTAAGACACAAAATTGCTTTATATTAAGGCTGTGAAGTTCACAACACATCTTTCACCCAGCTGTAAATCAAATATCAATTGCCAAATGCTGAAAAAGAATGTAGAAATTACCTGAATTTGACAGAGATATGAGGTCCTGCTTTCACTAAAACTTGAATGATCTTATCATGAATCAGGTATTTCTCTTCAAACAACATCTGAAACTGAAGTTCTGAACCCCTCATGAGTGATGGGAAATTGCTGATGATAACCTGTATCAGGTAAAATGTGGCTGAAGTCAAATTGAACGCTCCATAAAAAATTCAATCAAATTTTTATTCTTGCAGGACATAACTTTTTAATTATCAAATACCACTATTAATAAAAGGCAATTCAAAAGTTAACTTTCAGTCATGACACTGCTTCTTTGACCAAATTTCACTATTCTTTTCCACATTCTCCTTGTGATTTAAAGATTTAATAAAAACTCTAGGTGTTTCTCTGCTACATAGCTCATGCTCTTGTTGAATACACAATCTTTGATTATGATCACCAAATGTACAGGAATGTAAGTGGATTGATAGAGTCAAAACAAGAAATAACAGAAAACTTTGTAGCAATAGCATTACAAGGTAATTGTTAAAGTAGCAGTACTATAATTATCCCATATACGGGTAGAGTAGAGACATGCCAAGCCAAATGGTAAAAAGTTCATGCTTGGCTCAATATAAGTGTTTGAAACTCAAGCTCGTGTCCTAGGCTCCAGCTTGATTCAAAAACAGTTCCCCAAAACTCAAGCTTACTTGACACAGATTATTATTGTATAATAAAAGTTAACTCAAGCTCAAATTTTGAGATATGTTACTATATTTAAACAATAAAATTTGTTTCATAACCAGTCAGGCTCAGTTAACTAAATGAGCAGAACGTCAAGCTCAAGCTCATTTCATTTGTTAACCAAGCAGGCTGAGCCAATATTAGTAACTGAGTGTGAGATAACTTACATACAGCTTGACTCATTTCCATCTCTAAACCAAAGGTGTGAAGCACTAATAAAGTATACCCTTCAAACCTTGAGGCTCATCTTTTTCCAAAAGATACTTGCCTTTTCAAGCATAGGGATAAATCAAAGCAATTCTTTTTCTTTTTCTTTTTTGTTTTATGCAGCTAATCAGTGCCTATTGAAAAATTACAGCAAACAAAGAGGCTTGTGAAACTATCGGGCATTGGAACTAACTTTCTGCACATCAAGTTTCTGAATGCAGATCTTAGAAAATTACATTTAAACATTAGGGCTGTCCATCACATATGCCATAAATAATAAAGTTCTGCATGAACAGGATGATGCCTATCAACCTTCTGAGCGCAGATCTCATTTTAGAAAGGAAAAAATAGCACCATTGAGAATTAATGAGAGAGAATTGTTCTTACCAGGAGTAGTTCAACAGCAAAAGGTTCCAAATGATTGCTTTCCAATCCACTACTGGCAATAAGATTGAGAATGCAACAGACATGCTCCGAGTTGAATATATTACACAAGCATTTTGAGGAAAGCAACTGCAAAAACTCAAAGTGTGGATGTTTATTTCCAATCACTTTAAGGAATTTATCCTGAAAAGGAAAAGTTGTAAATTGTAGATAAGATTAAAAAAATCCAGAAATGCAAAATGAAAAATAAGGGATAGTAACACATTATACCTCCTGTTAAATGTTTAAGAAAGTCTGAGAATATATTTTGAAAACACAGAAAAAGCTCATCAACAAAAACAGGTCAATCCATTTTATTAACCAATATCACAAGTAATCAGATGGAGCAATAATAAAGCAGAGAGCATAAGACTCAGAACACGCTGATGGTTAAACTTGAACTGATCCATTTAAATCCCAGGCTTCTACACTGATAGTTTTTATTTCAAATTCTAGTACCACAAACAAAATAAGACTGAACGGTGAGTAAAAACAGGTCTCAATTTATGTTTTAAGTATGTTAATCAATATGGGTTTCTTCAACAGTATAGAATAGACCTTCACAAAGAAAGGATGAGATACCAAACAGAACCCAGTTAAGCTCTATCCCAATCAGAATTGGGTGAAGAACCCAACTTCAGAATTTTCATATCTTGGGATGTTGAGTTTTCTATATTTAGTTAGTTGTTTCTTGACTGTCACAAGCACTTTAGCAGTCAACTTAATGTAAAAGAGACCTTTCCCAGCTGTAAGGATTTACAACACAGTAAACAATCTTCACTAAAAGACAGAACATCTGCACTAGCATCTATGGGCGCATAGAAAGTGGGATACTGAAATTCCAAAAATTGTCATCCTAGTACAGAGCCATTACTTGTTTTATCCAACTGCACAGCTAGCAGAAAATAAAAAGGTCCCTGTTCTACTAAAAGCATAAAAATAAATTTTGTGGCATAAAAGGGTAGGTGGTGATTGCAGGATCCTTCATCAATGAGACACAACACCAGAACATTGCCATTCAAGTCAGAGATGCAATCGGTATCATCAAACTATGAATTATTAGGCTATGTGCATGAAATAGGAAAATTTAGAACCCTTCTCAATTATAAATGACAAATAACTCACGTATCAACAACCAACCCTAGAACAGTTAACAGATATTACCAACTGTTGACAGCAATCAGACTATTTCTGATTTGTTGACACCAATCAGGATCTATTTCCTGATTTGTTGGGATTTATTTTTCTGGTCATTACTTTTATTTCTTTCTATGTTTAGATGATTGTGTCCTGATTTTATGGATTTTTCTGTAAATGTTGGTTACTCTATATTTGAGGATTATCTCCCAATAAAAATCAGAGAACATTGTTTCTTTATTTCTCTTACACCAACACACCCATTCAAATTTCTCAAAACAAGGTTTCCTATTATGAATTTGGAATCTTATTTGACTCAGACTGCATAGGCAATCTCTCAAAGTCAAAGCAGCAGGTAAATTACTTTATTTTCCCTATAAACCTTCATAAAACAAAGATCTGCCTTTTGGTTAAAACTTGAAAAACTCTGTTTGTCATTATACATTAGAAGTCATACTTGATATGTTACATGGCCTATGCTAACAAAAAATGCAATCATCAACTTTTATCAGAAAATTAAGACTTTTTTTTTTCTATTAAGTAAATCAGGACAGGTTAAGTAGATAATATTATATAAGCATTTAAGGACATGGATATCGAAACTAACAACCTTAGTGCACCATGAAACAAATGTAATAGTATTAAAAGAAAGCATGTAGTGATAAATGATATCTTTCAATTAAATTAAACCAAAAAGAACAAGTAAACAACGCACTCTTGTGGCCAGGGCATTTTTAAGTGTCAGCTCATCAAGCAATAGACCAAGTGAAGCAAAAATTTGGTTATCCTTTATTTGACTCAATTTTTCAAAGCACTCTTCTGCTTTGGATGGATCTGGGAATGAAGCCGACATTTTCACAAAAGAACTCTTCAATTTCTTCTGCATATCCTCTGAACTATGCTCCTGCAATAACTATTCATCAGTCCTAATGAATAAAACCCAGAAAGTACACTTGGAAGAACAAAGCTGTGACACACAAACCAAACTCCACTCATAAGAACTTTCTGAATATTCTGTGTTTGTGCGTGTAAAAATGTCTTGACAGCAGAATGGTGTGCACAAATTACAAGGAAAGAAATACAAGGCAGAAAGGAAAATCCAATGCTTGATGTAATATTAATCACTCCAAGAATAATGCACACCACAGTGATATTTGAATAGGTAATGGATGCATTATAAAAGTAAGCATCAACTAACATGTAGGCATCTGTCAATTAGCAACAGTAGGAGAGCTGATATATTAAGTCCTCAAATTATATGGCTCCAAAAAGCAGTACAATCATTATACCTTCTCTTTCCTTTGTGTGACCAAATAATTCCGCATTTCAGTTTGCAACCTGAAAACGTAAAGAGATGGTAATAAACATATACCACTCTCATTCAAGCAGTAATGTTGTACAGATACCTTTGTTTCTGAGATAAAATGGCACCAAGAGCCTTCAGATGCAAAGGACTGAAAAGAGAAAACAAATGGATCCAATGTCTTGTCCTCTCTTCAACTGGAAGAAGTACCGGAAATAAATCTTCCGAAATAACAAGTTCTATGTTTTGGGACCTAAACATCAAATGTGACATTATAGAGACCAGCTTTGGTTTTCTTAGAAACAATAAAGTGCAAATAATACCTGAATTCTTTGCAATCTTTATCATAGCAAAGCATCAAGACTTTGCATGGAATCTGCTCAAAGTGATCACACATTGTGATGTGGCCTTCTGCACACTTGTTACAATAATCTCGATATACTTCCATCACTTTCAGCAAGGCTTTCTTTCTAACAGATATCTGCACAAAAACATACACAATTAAAACGTAGACAGCTTTAAACAAAACTAATTGCATAAATATCCTAAAGCAAGTTTACCTTCTTATCCCTAAGTCTCTCTATAACCTCAGATATTAATTTGGGTGAAGTATATTTAAGGTTAGACCCAGCAAGATCGCAGGCAACAATCACTGCCTGCATTCTCACTTTATCATCAAAGTCCAGCAGTCGATCTTCAATGGCAGCTGTTGAGTTTATGATACAATGATAGAAAACATGTAAATTAGATTATGGAGACTGTGAACAAAGATACATGCACAATAACCAAAGAACTTTTATTATGGAATTGCTTACTAAGAAGTTCAAGGGATTCTATTCCCGAGGGATTGGCCAAGCAACAAGCTTTAGCACATTGTAGAGCAGTAACTCTAACTTCTGAAGATTTATCAGAAAATCTTTTCAAAAACTCTACAAAAAGAGCACGATATCTTTGTGCAAGACGGTATTCAAGTCGTGAAAGAAGTTTTCCAATTAAATTAACAGCTTTTATTCGGACATCAACCTGATCAGTCTGTAGATGAAAAACAAAGTTATTTCAACAACAATTAAGAATAAATTTCAAAGTTAAATAAATTAAAGCATAAGAGACACTTTTTAGTGAAACAAGAAAGGCTAAAATATGAAAAAAGCCCTTGAAGTATTCAAAACAATCTAACTAAACCCTTATACTATTATGTCATTTAAATAAGCCCCTCAACTGTTATTTTCTACTATTAAAACCCTTCTAACCTTATATTAATGACATCTTGGCATATTTTAAGATATGTAGACAATGACATAGCAATAAAACGTACATGTGTAAAAATAAGAAATTTAAAAAAAAAAATAGTCTAACAAAAAATTTTATTAATTGATACCATAATTAAAAATAATTATAAAAAATAATAATTTTATAATTAAAAATTATTTTTTATTAATGTTATAATAAAAATAATAATTTTAATAATATTTTAATAAATATAATAAATTATAATTACAAATAATTATAAATAATAATTTTTATTATTTATTATATTTATTAAAATATAAATATTATTTATTAATAAATTATTATTATTTATTAATAAAAAGAAAATATTTATGTTTATATGAAAATTAGGAAAATAGAAATTAACATCATTTTTATACTTTTATATGAATGTAGATTTTTTTATTAATTTTACATATATACATTTTCTTTTATTAATTATTTTCAATCATGATCAAATAATTAATCATTTTTATTAATTTTCACATAAATTTTGACATTTCATTTTTTTATTAATTTTATATATTATTATTTTTATAATTTTTTTTAGTTATGGTATCAATTAATAAAATCTTTTGTTAGATATTTTTTTTGAAAATTTCTTATTTTCACATATGTGTACGATCTTTTGCCATGTCATTGTTCACATGTCTTAAAATAGGTCAATATATCATTAATATAAGAGTAGGACTTTGATAGTAGAAAATAAGAGTTGAGAGACTTATTTAGATGACTTAATAGTATAAAAGGCTTAGTTAGATTATTTTGAATACTTCAAATGGTTTTTTCATATTTTAGCCAACAAGTAAATAGCGATTCATAATAATAATCCAAATTATTTAAACAATATGAGTAATGAATAGAACCAGATCAACATAATAAGGAAGTTGTACCATTAATTCTTGGGTCAAGTTGGGGATGACAGCATTAAGCATCTCAGGAGCACACTGAAAAATTTTTAACACAATTTCATGGTAGAATTCTTTGAGCTCACTCCCTAAAGCATCTCTATCCAAGGAGCAAGATGTTAAAAATCCACAAACAAAGGGCTGAAGCTTTTCTGCACAACTTTGGATAACAGAGGCAGCAAGCCGAGAAGCTGCGGAAGTCGTATCCTATACAACGTACATTAATGTAAATAAATATTCAAAATTTTGTTCTTAAATACATGCTTATATACACCGATGAAAGAAATTGAACTATTATGAGATGCAGAAAATCTACCCATATTGTATTTGTATGATGTAATGAAAAATGGTCCACAATTTTGCTACTATACTAGGTATAATTAACAAAAAGTTTCAGCACTCTGTTTGAATTCTGAAGCAAATAATTGTGGTGATCTTCTTAAGTAACTGTATAAGAAATGACTTTAAACTTGAAAAGGCACCACATTATGAATAAGAAGGATGAGCATCATAATGGCATGCACCAACAAACGCAAGCAAATCCTGTGTAGCACACAAAGACAAAGTAATGGTTTACAAACAATATCTCAGTTCTAGGGATTCTTGAATAATCAAAATCTCAAATGAAATTAAAATCCCAACTTCGAAGGAGATGCAGGAAGAGACAGCAAACATAAGCAACAACCAAACTTCTATATATCTGGTGAAAGATAACAGTCTGGGACCTAACAAAGTCAACAGAGAGGCCTCTGTCACCCAGAAATCCTAGGTTCAACAAATATTTGCATGCATTCCTAGCCAACAGATGACATAACTCCTACTTAAATGAGAAAGCATCCAGGAAATATTATAAGCATAAATCATTTATATTAATGAATTAAATCAGCATTAACTCATTTTGTCTCCTTGAACAATGTTCAAACCCCTTTTTGGCTAAAAATTCAGGATGACACAAGTTAAAAAATACAGTCTCTCCTGAATAATAGAAAACAATATCTACCAACTCACCTTACCCTCCTTTATAAGATTTCGAAAAATTACATCCATAAGCTGGTCAGACACTTCCTCATTTAGAATATGAACCATTATAGACAAAATATCATTGATTAAACTCTGTTGATGGTGATCTCTGGGAAGAAAGGAAAATAACGTTGTTAATATCACAGCATATACAAAATGGCAAATGAAAACAACAAGAATAATAAAGCATTAAACAAAACGGGTTGGAAGAAAACTATGGTGAGTATATATGGTGATCATAGAATGAAAAGCCTGACATAATGTTCAGGCAATAAAAGCTCCAAAGAACACAAGAATAGAAGTTTAAAGGTAAAAATTTCACTACCATTCAACAAGGAGAAGAGAAAGACATAAAATTCAAAGCTACAATAAATTTAATGGAGGCTCTCAGGTCAGAAATAAGTTACTAAAATCTTAGTACATAAAAAAGTCAAGAGTCCAACTTTAGAGGCAAAAAAAAAAAAAGAATTGTTATCAAGCATGCTTATACCCAATTAAATTATTAGAAGGAAAAACTGTAAATTTTCTCAACTTCAGTTAAAGTAAGTTTACATTAAGAGACACATATGGTCAGGCAGATTAAAAAATACCTAGCCCTAGTAGGTTAATCTTGTATGGAAAAGATCATACAGAAAGAAAGATTAAGTTAATTAAAGGCACAATATTGTAAAATTTGTTCAGTTAAAAGGAAAATCACATAAAACTACCAAAAAAATATACAGGAAATATGGAGAGAAAGGAACCTGACCTCACAACTGAGAAAAAAATATTAAACATTTCAAGAATCAAATCATTGCAGTCAATATCCAGCATAACCACACAACATTTACATCGAGCAACAGTCTCCAATATTTTAACCCTCCTTGAGAAGAATGCGCTTGTAGTATCAGCAAGCTCCATGAAAATACTGAGAATGAGTTTAAAAATGTCCTGAAATGAAAGGGTTCATAAGTTTGAACGATACACAAGAGGGAAATGACAAGGACATACAACAGTAACCATATAATTTCAAAACCCAAAAAAAAAAAAAAAGAAAGAAAATGTTACCCTAAGATATTTATCTGCAAAAGGTGGTTGAGGTGCCAGGATTCGAAAATTTTCACTGACACAAATGGCCACCAAAAGTCTAACATCTTTATCAGTGTGGTTAGATAGGCTATGCTTAACAATAGATTTCATCAAAGGCTTCGTGGCAGCCTCTAATTTTCCCAACACTTGCGCCTTTGTGGCAACTTCAACAACTGAAGGCTGTTCTATTTGAGACAAGGCACTAGCAACTTGCTGCAAAAAGAATTATTCGCTGTGAAACACTCCATAATAAGTGGTATTCGACAGTCCTAGCGATTTGTTTGAGAAAATTCACTTTTCGAAGAAGAAGAAGAAATCTATGCTTACACGGAGAGATTTGACGAGGACATCTTTGTTAGGGCGAGCGAGTTGGCCAAGTTTGGAGCCGATTCCAGAGATGAGTTGCAATGTGGACTCGTCCATTTAGCGATGAATCTTACTGAGAGGTTTAATTAGAAGGAAATAAAGAAAATGTGTTGGTTTGGCAGTGGAATTGAGGACTCAGAGTTTATTCTATTTGGCATGGGCTAGAAAAAAAATATATCTTTGTGGAGCAAGGGAGATTTGAAGAAACAGGAAAAGGGGTGCCCCGATTTAAGCGGGGAGAATCCCGCCTTTCGATATGCGTGACAATGACGCGCTGAATAAAGGTGACGACTGATGAGATCATTACGGTTTTAATTTTTAGCCGTACGATAATATTGACCGACTGACTTAAAGCAACGTCAGTACCAGGCCAGGCCCATCTTAGCAAAACTTGTTCTTAGTAGTTTTTTTCAGTACAAGGGCCAGGCCCGTGATTTTTCTTTCTAACATGTTTGGATTCAAAGAAAGTAAATTGGACTTCGCCCAAAAAAAGTTGTATAATGCTCAAATAAGCCATCAAATTTTACCCTAAACTGTAAATAACTATTTAACTTTTATTGTATTAAACTAAACTTATGAATTTTTATTTTGTTATAATTAAAATCTGTATAAAATATTCAATTTTTTTAAATCCTTTTAGTTGGATGATTTAATTTGTAGAAATGTTTATTTTAATTTATTTGAATAAGTTAAATGATAAATGTTGAAGAAAACACTATTTAAAAATTTTATAAATTAGACATTATTCATCTAAATTTTAAGACTTAACAAGTATAATTACAATAAAATAAAAATTGATAATCTTAATTTCATGTAATAAAATACCAAAGACTTATTTACATTTTTAAATAAAATTCGAGAGTTTATTTGAGTATGAAACCAAAAAAATAAATTAAAACAAATGAAATAAAAAAGTAAAAAAAAATGAAATCAATTCAATTGATTTATATAATTATTTTTAAAATATATCATTTAATAAATTTAAAATTTTAATCAAAATACCTGTAACTCTTTTTTGAGGTCAAATTCCTTATCACTTATCCAACAAATCATAATTCTGTAATCAGCTGGAGTAATTTTGTGAAGTCAATCATCAAATTTAGAGGACAGAAGAGTGAAATTTTGCTCGGAATTTGTTTGAGAGACTGAAAGCATATCCGAAACATGGCAGGTGTAAGAATCACAGAGGTGATGTTTTTTTTATTGTAGCCCAATAATGCAGTTGATGCAGCTGCAGTTTCAGCTATACACCATGAATCACTTTCCTCATGCCATACAGCCACGTGGGATCTTTGAGGTCTTTCCATTTTACATTAGCTCATGACTCATAAATAAAATTGATCATTTGATATATAATTAATTGTATATGAAATGTAAAGAAGAATAATACCTAGGATGATTTTGACATCTTGCAATAAAAACAAAACCACATTTCAAGTTCTCATGTGGGCTATCACAACTGATCATTTCAGAGTTGCGAGAAGAGGATTAAGGGAAGAAGGATGATTAATGGGGATAGTTGATTTTGTGTGAAGGGTGTATGCCATATGTTTATGGGGCTTTGCGGATCAGATGTTTACTCAAATGGTAAGAGAGTTTGCTTCCAATTGAATTGGGAGGTTGTGAAAAAAAAAATTTATGAATTCATTAAATAAAATGTAAATAAATTTGTTTGAACAAATTCAAAAAAGAAATGTAATGAATGAAACTTAAAAACATCTTATTGTTAAAAAAAATATGCCATATGTTTAATCCCCAAAGGAGTAGCATGATGTATTTCTTTTTATAAACTGAGTGAGGTAATATAATGTTACCAAAAAGAAATTTAAAAAAAAATTCAAATCAAAGATTTTGGAAAATAAAACTGAAACTCATGATCATTAAAAAAAAAAAAAGAAAAGAAAGAAAACGACTTAGGGCAATTAGTTTGATCCAAAGGAGATAATAATACTAATTAATTTAGCTCTCTTCTACTCCCAATCAAACTAGAATCTCCTACTCTTGTCCAAGAATAACTAGGATATCCTATTTCATATTATGTATATATAGAATATATATATATATATATATATATATAAAAGCGTTGTTCTATAAACTAATCTTAAATTTGTATCAATCGACGGTATATTCATGCCAATCATGTCAAACCATAGAATTCCCCTGGATGTATTGTGCGGCATATTGAGTGAGCTTCCCGTCAAGGCTCTTCTCCGCTTCAAGAGCGTGTCAAAGGAATGGTTTTCCATGATCAATGATCCCTATTTCATCAAACTCCATCTCAGGCAATCCATGGAAACCAACAGAAATAATCTCAACATCATACTTAAAGAAAGAGCATCCGGTAAACTCTTCTCCGTAGGCTTCGATTCTATCAATCTCGACAACCCCAGAGAGCTGAATCACCCGTTGAAGCGTCGACGAGGTGGAGTACTTGATGAGGAATATTATGATTATACTCAAGCTTTGGGTTCATGCAACGGATTGCTTTGCTTAATCAACGACAATCAAACATATAGGACAATCGTGTTGTGGAACATCTCGACTGGAGATTACAAAGTTTTACCAGATCAGTCGATGGAACCACCACAAGCATGGAGCCAAGTTCAGCAAGTGACCTTCTACGGATTCGGGTATGACTCGATCAATGACGATTACAAGCTGGTAATGATTGTGCAGGGAATTGACTACTCTGAGAGGTCTCCGCTTGTAACTGAAGTAAGAGTTTATAGCCTGAAAACAAATACATGGAGAAGGGGTGAAGAAATCCCTTACTACTTTCGTAACCTTTGGGGAAAGGGCGGGACGTTTGTTAATGGAGCTTTACATTGGCTTGGAATTGAAGGACGAAAATGGGAATTGCCCAGTATGGTCATTGCCTTCGATGTTGGAACCGAGAAACATCGCCCAATTAAGTTGATCGACAACATTGAACACAATACATATAGCGTGTTTCTGGGAGCATTACGAGGTTGTCTTTGTATGATCGCAACTTGTTTCGACGATAAAGTGAACGTATGGCTGATGAATGATTATGGGGTGAAAGAGTCTTGGACAATGGTGTATAGCTTCCAAGGATTTTCGACTCCTCATTTATTCCCTCTTGCTTATACCAAAAACGATGGCAAACTTGTATTGGAAAAGGAGGGCATGACCCTTTCATGGTATGACGTAAAAAGGAAGGAGTTCAAAGACATCAAAGCCCCTCAGTTGGAGAATATTAAAATCTTTCCCCCTGAGATTTGTATGGAAAGTCTGGTTAAACTGGTTGATTAAAGATTAGAATAATTAAGAACTTGTTTAGTATTGTGTTTAGGGTTTCAAAAAAAGTAACTTTCCAACGCAGAAGTCAATGTAGGGATCAATTGACCCTTAAAAGACTTATTAATTTAGCATAGTTATCTTAGTACATTTTTGTGTAATTGATCCCATTAAAATTAATAAAAATCTAAAAAAAGAGTAAGAAATTTTTTTAAAAAGCTTTTATTTATATATATTATATGATTATAAATTTTTATACGATATAATTTAATCACTAATAAAATCATTTAATTAAAATGTGAAATATATCATAATTTTAAAAATATTATCACATTATTTAATATTTAACTTTTACTTATTTGAAAATATTATTTATTTACTAACGGAATCATATCTCAATTAATAAGAAAATCTTCAAATGTTTAAGTTTTTTAATTCAAGTTCGAGTTATCTCAAAAATTACATTACATTACATATTGATTGGATTAATTTAATTTGTTTATTGGTCTCTCTTCTCAATGTATATTAAAAATTATTTAATTATGATTATTATTATTATTATTATTATTTGTAATACCTATAATTTCATTTAAAAAATCATTTACTCTTGTATCTAAATACATAATTTGTTTTCTTTTAAAAGAAAAAGATAAATAATAACAATAAGGATGAAATGAAACCCAACTTAAGTTATAAGTTTCATGGATGATTAAATCATAAACCTAAAATAATTTATCGTTATCATCGTATTAACTTTGTAATGAAGTAACCAGATAATATACTCTATAATTTCATAAACTTAAAACTTTCATATCTAATATAGATTTTTTTTCAATAATATAATGTACATATTATATCTTATTTACATAAGGAAAGTTTTAAATCATAATTTTTCATAGCAATTTTTTATTAAACTTTTCAAATGCACCTTTTCAAACAGAGATTTTTCAGCCACAACATTGTTGGTTCAATTGGGGACAACTTTAATAAATAGATATAAATATTATGCTGTAATATTGAATTTTGTTATTCTACTTTAATTTTATTGAATTTGTCAATATTATACCGCTAATTTTGTTAAATTTTAAATAAAAAATAAAAAATTTAAATATTTTATAGAATATTAGTTTAATGCGAATGATAAATATTTTCACTATACTTCAAGTAAATAGAAGAAAAGGCTATATAGTCATATGTATGACCAACAAGAAATATGGCACGTAAAACATAAGATTAGAATTTTGACCAACATATCAAGAAATTTTAATATATTATTTGAAGTTTAATCTTATTTTGTTCCGCATTTTAGACTATTTATAGTTTTCAACGATAATTATTTAAAAAAAAATAAGCTCTTAAATTTTATCCAAAATGTACAATTATTCCATCAAACTCCTTTTAAGTCATTATTAAATTCAACTCCGTCTTGAAACTTCAATTTGTATAGAGTTGAATCCTTAAGTTATATTTTAATGATGATACAATTGATATTAGTAGTAGTAATTTCTGATAATAGATTTAAAAAAAATAGAAATAGTAAGAAAGAATAAAATATGGTTTTGAGATGTGAATAGCACTGTCTTAAAGGCAATTATGTCTATAGGATACAACAAAGCTTTAAAACTCTCTAAATTAGAAGTAGTAAAATTGATCAAACAGAAAGATCTATTTATAATAAATGAACAGTCATTAATCAAATCAATTCAAAAAGTCAGACATTTTGTATAATTATATTTTATTGTTTAAATAAATTTTATTTAAACAATCATATCTTTTACTGTTTAAGCATATTTATTCGGAATCAATAATATTTCAGAATAAATAATAATAATAATAATAATAATAATAAATATTTAATAATTAAATTTATTTGTCAAACAAATCCAAGTGCCCAAGTACATATCTTTGATTTTTAAAATTATCTAACCTACTAAAAAAACTCATAATAAGCTCAAATGACTTGGCCCACTCCAATACTTAACTCAATTACTTAAATAATATAAATAATTTTTTTAAAACCATTTTAAGTGATATTTCTACTCAATATAAGGTACATCACATTTTAAACTACCAATAATTTTTACATAATCTTGAAGCTGTCATTTTAACATTCGAATCCAAATCTCTTAAATAAAATAGGAATGTCTTTTTGAGAATGGTAGATATTATACCCTATTGCAAACAATGTTGGCATATATGGAATGTATATTTTTGCATATGGAACATGAAAAACAGTTGACATACTTTCACATCCTTTGTTTTCAACTTCTTTAGATGTATGAAATATAATAAATCTCAAAATTTTTAGAGCCAAAAAATCATCAATTACTTAAATAATATAAATAATTTTTTTAAAATCATTTTAAGTAATATTTATACTCAATATAAGGTACATCACATTTTAAACTACCAATAATTTTTACATAATCTTAAAACTGTCATTTTAACATTCGAATCCAAACCTCTTAAATAAAATAGAAATGTCTTTTTGGGAAAGGTAGATATTATACCCTATTGCAAACACCGATGTTGGCATATATGGAATGTATATTTTTGCATATGGAACATGAAAAACAGTTGACATACTTTCACATCCTTTGTTTTCAACTTCTTTAGATGTATGAAATATAATAAATCTCAAAATTTTTAGAGCCAAAAATTCATCATTTAGAGTGATCCCACAAACAAAAAAATCATAAAGCAAATTCAAAGTCAAGCTAAATTAGGCTTGATTTATCTTTGAAACCCAAAATCCAATCGTGGAGTCAAAAAAACTTACAAATTTCAATAAATTATACTAAACATTAAAATTAATATTTTAAACATATTTTTTAATTCAAAGTAAATATAATTTATTTTTATTAATTAAATATTATCTCAAATCGTTACTTCTAAGAACGTTCAAATCGGCAAATGAGGATTGTGAAATGTTTAGTAATCACACACTTTTCCATTCACTCTACTTTCTCTTCATTTTTCTCCTTCACCAATCACCACATTTTCCCACTTGACGAAATTTATAATTTTTAATAATTAACCAGGACCGACCAAGACCTCGTTTCAAAGGAGAATATGCAGCTTAATTCAAGGAATATGAGGAAAGTGGGCAACTTTTTAATGAATAATAATTAATCAACCCTACAAAAGTTAGGCTTACCGAATATTAATTTGCTTCCTTTCTTGTAAATACCTTTTGCCTCAACTTGCACATTTATAGTCATTTTGGAGGAAGATTACTGTCATATTTTGTTCAGTTCATAATAAATTAGTACATTTATGTTGCAAGTTCCTGATTTTGGTGACTAATTTTTTGGTATGTTCCAACTTTAAATTTGTTTTACAATGACGGTTTGACTCAATTAATAAGATTATCCATTTCAACATAAGCGATTTTAGATTCAAGCATTGAAAGAGATGATTTTCAACATTTACGCTTATTTTTGCTTAAAATGAAGTGTGAAAAAGATTAAAAAGAAGATTTAAAAAAAAAAAAAGCTTTAAATTTGCAAGAGACCCCTTGCCACCTGGGAAAACTTCTATTACAAGAATATATCTACTCCACTTTGTCAATGTTGTTATAAACAGTTGATCCATTAATGTGCTCAATTTTCCACAAGCAGTCCAAGAATATTGAAAAACTTCTCCACTACGTAGTACGTACTCACTCACATTCTGCCTTCGAAGTTGTCTTGATCAAACGTTTTCTAAGCCTATCTTATCGGGCACGTAAAGTGATACAAAACATTGATATATGTCTCTACTTACATAAAAGTTTTTTTTAGAGAAATTCGTAAAATTTTTTATTAAAAATGATTAAATAAAAATTAAAATTGAAAATCAAAATTAATAGATTAAAAATTTTCGTTACATAAATTAATTATAAAAAATTTGAAAAAATTTTGATATATATATTTTTAGATCAAGATTTTAAATAAAATTATTGACAGAATTTTTACTTTTAAATAAATATCGATTAAATTTGAATTATAAATAATATTTTTGATAATTTTGTTTATATTATTGATCTCAAAATTAAACTCCATCAATCTATCAATTTAAATATTTTATTAAAATTTTAATTTTAAAAATTTTTTTTACAAAATTTACCTAAAAAGCTTCATATAAATTTTATCCTCAATGAAAATATATCTGGTGGCAATCTCATAAGGCCATATAATTTTTATTTATTTATTTATTTTTATAAATGACATCATAGTTTGAAATAAAAAAAATTAATGATTACAGATAATATAATTTGAATTTTTAATTTATTAAATGTCAATATATTTTTTATTTATTGAAAAAGTTCTAAATTTTTTTTAACATGGCGAAATTATAAAAGTTACTACATAGTTTCATTAGTTTGGTTACTTTCCGACACAATGGACTTGCATTATTCAGTTTTTCTTAAAGATTTCAACCATTCAAGGGAATAAAATGAATGAAAGATATAAGCTTGTCTATTAAATTCATTTGATCATCCTCCAAACCACTATAAAACTATGCTATAAATCTGGAAACCAAGGCTTAAAGATAAGAAAGAAACACCCAAAATCCTTTTTATCATCGTAAATTAAATATAAAGTAGTGTTTTTCAATATTTAATGCCCAAAACTTACTTTCTTATGATTTGATTGAACCATATTTTTGTCCAATTTGAGCTAAGTCACTTCTTTTTTTACAGTATTTTAAAATTTCAATATTTATTTACTTAATTCACATAAAAATATTATAAATTTAAATTCTCTCAAATTTATAATCTTCAATAATCTTATCAACATGAGCTTAAATTATTTCGAATTCATAAACTTTAATGATATGAATTTAAACGATGTGTTATATATAAAAAAAAAAAAATAGACAGACTAAATCAGGAAGTGACCACCTAACTTAGACACTAACCATCAAAGCCATACCTTTTTTCCTAAAGAGATGTCCAGAAATTTCAATGCACATTAGAGAAATAGCTTTACTGATTATTCACACTTTATTACAAATGGTTTTTAAACGAGGTTTGTCCAAAGTGGGACAAGTTCTATGATGAGACAAAATCCAATGGTAAGAAATTCTAGTCAACGTCAAAAATCAAAAGAAAGTATACTTACTAAATGGCTGTGATCATCCTATTTTCTAGGATCTTTCTTAAGAAGAGGACCCCACTTCAAATCCAAAGGCCCAAAAAAAAAAAAAAAAGACCATAAATACAATTTCCATGGCATAATAAGAGACGTTTAAAAGAGAGAGAGATAATCGCATGGAAGAAGGCCTTCCTCCAGACACCCTCTCTCACATTTTCATTAGGTTTCTCTTTTTAACTCTCCTTCACTTTGTCTCTCTATTTATGTAACTTTAGCTACCTATTCAATACTCTATAAAAGCAAAATTTTGAGGTGGGTTTTTGGTTTCTGGTTCCGGGTTTTGAATTTGGTGATCTGGGTTCTTGCTGAGAGAGAGAGGGATAGAGGGGTGGTGAGAGAGAAATGGAAGACGGGAGATTGTTGCAGTGGGATGTTTTCAGATCTCTTCTTGCAATTCTTCAGTGGTGGGGTTTTAATGTTACTGTTATTATCATTAACAAATGGATCTTTCAGGTTTGTTTCTAACTTTATTTATTGATTTTGACACTGCTTTAACTTAATTTTCTTATATTTTGCTTTAATTATTCCATTAGTACAGAATTCTGTTTCTTTGTGTTATAAACTTTTAATTTTGATGCCTTCTGATTTCTGCTTCGATTCAGTATCAGTGAAAATTTTGCTGGAGTTTGTTCATTGATTCTAAGTAATGCTTGCTAAACTATTTTTTTTTCTTTTTGAAAATTAAGAATTGAAAATTGGAGTTCTCATGTGGGCTAGGTTCTTTTCCTCTTTATCATTTTTTTAACTTTTTTTATTTTGAAATCTAAAATAACAGCTTGATTATGGACTTAAATTAAGCATCTTAGAATAAAAATACAGGAGTCATGGTTAGGCTGCTAGTTTTGTTCGTGTTAGAGGAATGTGGCTGCAATTTTCAGTTTTGTCTAGGTACATAAGTAAAAGATCTGGGAATATAAAAATATCTTGATTATATATGATTCCTCATAATTGGTATTATAATGTTTATTTTGTTTATGTGGTGCATTTTGATGAGATGGGGGAAAGCGTAGGGATGGCTGTCTAGCATGTGGTGGGATTAAACATGAACCTTCAATTTGTGGTTTGACAAGTACATTTTCCTGCTTTAAGAATTAGCTAAAATTTTGGATGGTTTAACGGAATCTTGGGAAGCATGCTAATGATTTTGTGCTGTTCTTTCAATTCATTCCAAATGATTCACTTCTGTTCTAAAGTTTCAGGTGCTTAAAAGCACCTTCTATCTCTGCTTTTTTCCTGATTTTATGCTAACACCCAAAATTATTTCTGTAACTTTAGTATGGGTATAGCTGGGAGCCTAATGTATTTGGTTGCTCTTCAGTCCAATGAACAGCCTGATGTGAATTTATTTCTCTCTAAATGTTTTCTTTCCATAGTTTGATTTATTTTTCTCTAGAGGACATAATAAAGTATAACATTCAGTGATCACACAACGGTTAAGTTGGGGTATTGGTATCTAAGATTGGAATTGGTTGATTCTGACACTTATACTCAAAGGTCTGAGGATATGACATTGTTTCTTTTCCCCAGAAATTGGATTTCAAATTTCCTCTTTCAGTATCATGCGTTCACTTCATATGCTCATCAATTGGGGCATATCTGGTAATCAAAGTGCTAAAGCTGAAACCTCTAATAGTGGTTGATCCTGAAGATCGCTGGAAAAGGATATTTCCCATGTCTTTTGTGTTCTGTATCAACATAGTGTTGGGAAATGTCAGCTTACGCTACATCCCAGTTTCTTTTATGCAGACTATAAAGTCATTCACTCCAGCAACCACAGGTGAGATTTAGGAATTATAAGCCTACTCATCACTTTGAGTGCACCTTATCTTGATATTAATCACAACTGCATATCATCATCACATTTGATCTTTGTACATTTTAACAGTTGTTTTGCAGTGGCTAGTTTGGAGAAAGTACTTTGACTGGCGAATTTGGGTCTCTTTGGTTCCTATTGTTGGAGGAATTCTGCTCACATCTATTACAGAACTTAGTTTTAATATGTTAGGGTTTTGTGCTGCCTTATTTGGATGTCTAGCTACTTCTACAAAGACTATCCTTGCAGAATCTCTGCTGCATGGATACAAGTTTGACAGGTACTGATGTTATTCTTGCCATTGTTTTTTGTCCTTTTGGTTATCTTTGATATTTTGGAGAAGGTAATATAAAACACCTGGGTTGAAGCTAAGCACAGGTTCAATTTATACAGCCATGGAATATCTAAAGATATTAACACAAAAATTTAGTTAATTCTGCATTTAACTGAGTGTTGTGTGTCAATGATATAATTTACTATTCTTCTTGGTCATCCTTCCTCTAAAATTTTCGCAACCATGCCTATTCTCATGTAGTTAAACTGTTTTGGCTAACAAATACAATGGCTGGCATTACTTTGGCCATCACAACCTCTAATAGCCTAGATATTTACTTTTGGGAAAGGTTTTTTTTTTTTTTTTTTTTTTTCTGACAGGCGGACTTGACACAACGCAATCTTTGTCTCCTTAGATTGAACTATTAACCAGTTGAAGTAAAATTATAAAATTATAACTCTCAAGTAAAACTCTGCAAAGAGTTATTTAAGCTAAGTATTGAACATGCAACGCCCAGCATCTTAAAACCATCTAATTATGCAGACATTCGGTTTCACAAACTGGTTCTAGTTATTAAACAAAGCCAAGTTTCAACATGAGATTCAAGGCCTCCCTTCCTTTTTGAGAATAAAGGCCGAGAATGAATTCCTTCCATGGTTTTTTTTTTCCTGGCTGGCTTTGATTATTGCCTGCTCTAGCATTCTAAGAGTTCATCACAGTCCCATCCGATGTAGAAGTATGTGATTTCAGTAATACTACGTAGAGATCTTTAGTTTGCTTGTGCTTGTTCTTTTTCTTGAGCAACTGATGCTAAATGAGCAAATTCTTAGTTGGTTATTTTTTATTTATTTGTAAGAATTATTATGTGCTGCTCGGTTATATACTGCTGGAGAAGGTTTTTGATCCAACATACTCTTGTTTTGCATACTCTTGTAGCATAAACACTGTCTACTATATGGCACCTTTTGCAACCATGATCTTGGGAGTACCAGCACTGTTACTTGAAGGCAATGGGGTTATGAATTGGTTTCATACCCACCCCTCTCCGTGGGCAGCCCTCATCATTATTTTCAGCTCAGGAGTGCTGGCTTTCTGTCTTAACTTCTCCATTTTTTACGTGATTCACTCAACTACTGCCGTCACATTTAATGTTGCTGGAAACCTTAAGGTGAGATTTGTTGAGAGAAAATTGATTGTGTTCTGACTCAGTTACACTATTCATTACTATCATTATTGCTGTCATTAATTGTGGTTTGCCAGGGCTTTAATTTTTTTTTTTTTTAATTTGCCCTAGATGTGATTATTTATAGTCTACTTGTCCTATAACGACGAACTTCATTCAAAATTCATCATCTGAATGTTGAATGTATTTTTCATTATCTGCAGAATCTTGTAAATTTTTGTGGTATATAATTGCAGACTTACAGTGCTTAAATTCTTCAAAGATTTCCGGTTTATCATTTTGAATACAGCATTCATTATTCTTATGTTTTTCTTGTGCAGGTAGCAGTTGCTGTGTTGATTTCATGGCTGATATTTCAAAACCCGATTTCGGGTTTAAATGCTGTTGGCTGTGGTATCACACTCGTGGGATGTACGTTTTATGGGTATGTCCGGCATATGCTTTCCCAACAACCTCCTGGAACTCCTCGAACACCCAGGACACCTAGGAACAGGATGGAACTACTTCCCCTTGTAAATAATGATAAGTTTGATGATAAGGTCTAATTGAGTATGTAATGTATGGGGTTCCTGGCTTTTGGAGAAGGGATAATACAAAGAAAAGGGCATAGTTTGGAGAGGATGCTCAGTCACCTTGTGCGGATTTACATTAGATTACCCATTTAGTTGCAAAATTTTTTAACATGTTTTCTTCTCTCTTAGAAACAGAAAATTATTACATCTCTTTATTTATTTGAGTGCCCCCAATATTGAGTACATGAAACCAATGAAATTTTCTATTTTCCACCTATTGCTTATACCATCTCTCGCAACACTAGTTACAACGGACAAGCTAGTGTATTTATCGTGCTTACCAGTTAATTTAGGTTGGAACTTGATTCGATTTAAAATTTTGAGATTCAAACTTCGATCTAACTTTAATTTTAGATTCATGAATTTCTTGAATTAAATATTAAATTATTTGAATTTAATTCAATCCGTTACTCGAATAATTCAAGCTTAATTATTTTTAAGTGTAATATTAAATTTCAAATCCCCCCTGCATTAGAAATTTACCCTTGAAGTTGGAAATGAAATCCAAATTATGGGAATGTTTGTAGAAGATAAGAAACTTATTTTGGAAATGCAATGATCCTCCATTTCATTAGAGCAAGACAAATTTGGTTATCCAGTCTGAGAAAAGGAGAGGCAGAACCAGTTGTACATTTTATATTCAATGATGAGGAGTACAAAGGAAAAACTAGTTAGTAGTGGTTATATATTAGGTGAAGACTAGATGATTAGAAGCTAAATATTATTACAGTGATTTATCTTTTGATGTGCTATCAGGCATCATAGTCTAACCATAAGGATCATATATAATGTAGTTAATAATAACTAGAACTAAGCCAAGAGCCAGAAGTTCTTCTGCCGTCTCGTGCTGATGAGGTAGCCACCGACGCCTTTGCTCTGCTTCTTGACCCCTATGGTTAAGCAATCTGCACTGTTGATACATTGCTCGACAAACTCATCAGTGCCGCTGCTCCCGCATAGGCTGCAAAGCAACACCATCAAACGGTTAGAAATATCAGAAAGGGGTGAGATGAAGATCTGAATCAATGGTGGAAAATCTGTTCTTGGGAAAGGGTAAGGACCCACCAGTTTAAGAATGGAGAGGGCCTTTTCTGACCCAGTACCAACACTGAAACCTCTAGCTTTTTCACTTGGCTCATCACTGTCGCCAGCTTGGGCCCTTGGATGACCAGTGCTTCCACTTCTACCTGAATATGGGTTCCCAAGAAAGGCAAGTGAATCACCAGCAACTATTATACTTGCCAATATGAAATACTATATTAAAGAACATGATCTATGGCAACTGGCAATGGCATCTCTCACACAGCCCAATGGAAAAAAGGGGAAACCAAAGGCAGAAAAAGGAAACAAAAGAAAAATAAATCATTTGAAAAATCATCCACTCCTTCCCTCCCCTCCCCTCCAGCCAAACTTTCCTGCTGTGGGTTGTGTGAAGGAAAGAGGGAAGACAAACTGGAACAGGAAAAAGCTCCCTTGCCTGCAAAGGATAGAAATGAAGCAAAATATGGGAAGTAACAGAAATTTTGTTAAAAAAAGAAAAAAGTGGTGAAAACCCGAGAATAACTTGAAAATTACCTCTCACCGAAAAGGTAATGGTCAAAGGGGAAAAAGGAAGATCGAATCAGGTAGGATCTATCAAACACAAAGAAAAGACTACTTTTTCTCCCACTCTCAACTCCTTAACTCCTAACGTGTTGGATCAGTCAATCAAAAACACAAAAATGACAAATTTTACATGTTTTTATTTTTCCAGAAGAGAGAAACTTGACAAATACAAATACCAACAAACTTCAGAGTAGTTTACATTACCTCAGGTTTACAAGCCTTGCAAAGTGACCCAAGAGAGTTAGCAAGATAAGAAGAAGAAGAAGAAGAAGAAGAAGAAGAAGAAGACAACTCTGAACTCTTTTGGCTTGGAGAAACAACATTAAGTAAAGTAAGCAGATCACCCTTGTTAGCTACATGAGTAAGTGCCCACATCATTGCATGCTTAGAATGTGAGCTTTGGTCCACCACAACCATCACTCTCTTCCTTATCACCAAGCCATTATCAACACCATTGCCATATACGTTAAGCCCTTCCATTTGAGCTAAACTTGCCTCAAACCCATCAGAAATGTTCTCACCAACGTTGTTATACTTATTGTTCCCTTCCCACCTCCGGGATGTAGATTTCCAACCTTCTTTTCCACTCAACTGCCTCAAAAATGAACCTGAACTAGGCATTTTCTGTTACTTCACTTACCTAAAATTGGCTGGCAAAAACTTAGTACACTAACTAGTAATGAACAGAAAGACTATTGACTACAAAAAGCAGGCCAGTAAAAAAACTAATAATACACAGTGGGGAAAAAAAAGAGATAAAGAGAGGGTGAAGTTGGGGCCTTTGTGGGGGATTTCTGGGAAGTTGTGGGGCTTTAATACTGAGCGAAGTATGAAAGTGTTAACAGCCAACGGGTTCAAAAATGGAAAAAAAAAAAGAAAAGGGAAACGAGAGAGAGAGAGAGAGGCAAAAAGGAGTGATGGAGGGCAGAACGGAGGAGTTAAAGAGGTGGTGTGTTGGGGCATCTGTGATGATGCAAAACCATGATAATTTATCTTTGTTGCAGGTTAAAATCACGAGAATCACTGGCTATTTTCTGGCTTTTCTTTTTCCTCTCGGTAAGGTCTGTAAAAAAAATGCAAATGGTCAGATTCTTGATGATGAAAGATTGAATTATTTTTTTATTTTTTTATACTGCACATGCCTATACCTTACCATTTCCATATATTATTTCAGACTCTTTTCTAGTTCTATATCAAAAAAATTTTAAAAAATTTTCTTCATTCCCTCTCATAATCTTTGTTTCTGACAAAGTGAATAAAATATTCATACATTTTTAATTATTACAAAAAAAATAAAAAATTTAATGGAAAGTGTTTTTCAAGCCAGCAAAGAAGGAGCAGACGGGCCATACTTTTGTCCTTGGGTAGAGTTGGATTACACCACTTTCAACATACCATTTAATTTTGCCAACTCTTATTTTAGATGACCACAAATGGGGTTATGGGTGCCTAATATCTAACTTATTAATGCTTTTTCTATCCCAAATTTCATGCTTTATTTCTTTAAACATTGTAAGAAATTATTCATAAACATTAATCCATAAGTTCTTCATAGTTTAGTAGTAATTTAAATTTGAGTAGTATTAGTAGTTTTTTTGTTAGTGTTCACTTATTATTAAAAAAAGAACAATTTGAATTTAATTCTTTAAATATTGATTTGATTTAATTTTAAATACATAAATTTGATGAGCATTTTTAATTTTAGTATTCAAAAATTTCTCCATAATTTACCTATTATGCGCCCAGAAAAAGTATTATTATTATTATTATTATTATATTTAAAAATTTTGTAAAATATTTTTTATTTTAATATTTATTATAATAAATAGTTTTTGTTCTTTTGACAAAAACATGCATGACTATTCCCGTGATGGAGCGAAGGGAAGGTCTCCATCCAAGAAAGAAGCGCTTTGTTTTTTTATTTGTTGTGATAGACATATAAGAAAATGAAAGACAGATGCATGAGATTTAGATTCTGATTGAAATGTGGTGTCAGTCCGTCAGAATCGAAATGTGAAAGCAACCATCTTTACATTGAGAAAGATGGGGATGGGCCAAGGTATATGTTTTCGAATTTGTTATTTGGGGGGGCAAAGTCACAGAATTTTTTACAAATAATTCGTTAATATATTTAATTTTTATTTATTAAATTTAATAAATAATTTTAAATAATATTTTTATTTTTTATTAAATTAATCTAATAAAATTTTATTTGATTTATTTATATTTGTGAATAAATTTATTTAAAATTTATTTATTTATTATTAGTTTATAATAATAATAATAATAAATAATAATAATAATAAAATCATATTTTTATCTTTTACTTTATCCTTATTTTAAAATTAATTTTTATTTATTTGAATTTATTTTTATTCATTAATATTTATTTATTAAAATTTTTAATTAAATTTATTTATTATTTATAAATATATTCGTTATATATGTTTATTTATATATATTATAAACATATTTTTTTAATATTTATAAATGAACTCATTAATATAATCAAATTGAATATAAATCAAATACAAATATATTATCATTTAAATGAATTAAATTTAAATAAATAAAATAAATTTTTTATCAAACATAAATTGAATCTAAATAATTTATTTTTATTCATTAATATTTATTTATTTAAATTTTAGTTATATTTATTATTATTTATAAGTATATTCGTTTATATATATTTATAGATATATTTTTTAATATTTATAAATAAACTCATTTAATATAATCAAATTGAATATAAATTAAATACGAATATATTATTATTTAAATGAATTAGACTCGAATAAATAAAATAATTTTTTTATTAAATATAAATTAAATCTAAATATTTTTAAAATGAGTAAATAAATTATAGAAATATATTTATTTATTCGATTCATTTAAAGTTTTATACATTTTGTTGCTGTTATTATTATTTAATAATATATTTGTATAAAATAAAAATGAAAAAAGAGATGAATTTATTTTATACATTTATTATCCATCTATAAATCAAATGGGGAAAGGTGAATTTGAGATTGAAATTTTAACGTGAACAACGAAATAAAATTTTTTTTTATTTTCCGGGAACGACGATGAATCACGATAAAATTATTATTTAATAATATTATTTATATTTTATTGAAAATTTAAAATTTACAAAAATAAAATATTACTACATATTTGTTATTTATGCATAATTTACTCTTTCACCTAAATAGCTGGTGCTTCACAGCTCACCCTTGAATACTGGAAAATGACATTCGTCATTTATTACACAAAAAAAAAGTATTTTAATTACTTTTTTTATAGTAGATTTTTTTTTTTGGAGCAATTTGGTACAAAACAAAAGTCGAAGTACAAGCAGAGTGTAGAAACGAATTAATGAATTAAGTTCGAAACAATAGTTGAGATTATACGTAGTAAATACGTAGGATTTTTTTTTTAACTGAAAAGGAAAATTAATTTTTTTGGTTTTAATTTTTTATCATCATTCTGACGTCATCAACAGCAAAGAATCCTGCCCTGACACACGCAGCCTATAATTACATCAAAGTTTTTTCAATTACTTTAAAAATAATGTTATATTTACTTTTAGTAAAGAAAAATAAAATAAAATATTATAAATTAATTAATTAATTATAGGCAAAAATGAGGGAAATGTCAGAAAAAGAAGCAGCCCCTCGTGAATTACGATTTTGGACTTTTGTTTAATTCTTACCTTCCAAATTTTTGCTTCCGGGTAACCCGCTGCAGCAGTGCTTCATTTTTACCCCCATCCAAATTATATTAATGCTTTTCTTTTTTATTCTTTGTTCCAGTGATTAATATTCCAGTTCTGTCCTTTTTAAGTCTAAAAAATTATATTTCTTATGCTTAATCATTTAGTTAATAAAATTAAATTTCACGTTAATAAAATCAATACACATTCAATTATTAAATCGTTAATAAGGAGGATTGAGGTTTAGGAATCTCGTCGCAATACATAGGCTCGTGTTAGAATTGCTTACCAACTAAGACCTGCTAGCAAGTGGGGATAATTCGTACAATTATCTTAATTAACGTTTCACCGACATCTTACTTCACAACAAACAATTTATTTTTAATTTATTTGAATCATTAAATACTATCAACATTTATTCACGTAATTTTTTTTAAATTTTACATAAATTTTTCAACAACTATTATAGACTATTATTATGCCACGTTCATTATCTCATATATAAAATAAATAAAATAAATTTAAATATGTATTTTAAAATTTTTATTTTTAAGAAATATTTAATTCGTGAGAATTCACACATTTTTTTTGAAATTTTATTATTGAATATTTAATTTCAATGTTTAATTTAGGATCATCTGATTTTGAAGAAATTTGATATTTTTTTTAAAAGTATCCAAAATCTTGAAATAAAAAATTTACCTTTTTTTGTGGTATTCTAAAATTTTAAAAGAAAAAGTAGCATTATTTTTAAATTTAACCTGAATAAAAATACCTGAAATAGTCGTTACTATATTAAAAAGTATGTTTAAAAATGAATACAAGTTAGTTATATGTTTATGCTGATAAAAAATTTGATGAATATATGACTTTTGGCATAAAAAATACATTTAATAATCATTTACAAAAAAATTGAACGGGAGTTATTTAAGGCGTTTCTGGTCAAATATCCCTTAAATAATTTTTAAAAATTTTTACGATGAGATTATTGAAGGTATTTTTGATCAAAAAAATCTTGAATAACCTCTATTAAAATTTTTGTAAGAGATTATTCAATGCGTTTTTGACAAAAAACACCTTCAATAATCTCCTATCTTTTTTTTTTTAGATTATTGGAGGCGTTTTTGTCTAGAAATACCTTGAATAATCCCTTACAAAAAATTTAATGGAGGTTATTCAAGAAGTTTCTTGCTAAAAAAACCTTTAATAACTTCTTCATAAATTTTTATGAGGTGATTATTCAAGGCATTTTTGGACAAAAATACTTTCAATAATGTTTGGCCCGAATATTTTTTGTTAATATTTGATTTTCTAGAAAAGAAAAGAAATAAGGTAAATCATATATTAAGATATCGAATATATTACATAAAATCTTATAAACAATTAACATTCCCCTAGGTCTAGAACTTTTAATCCCTGAAGAGATGATGATAATCCAAAATATTTTTAATCTTTATTATTTTTTAACCCGTATACTTATGGTACTCTTGATGGGTAATAACAAATATCCAACTACTACAACAAGAAAATCCAATGTAAGAGCATTAAAAAGGTGACCTAGCATTTAGGAAGATCGAAGCCTCAAGAGTTAATGGTCGAGGTGGCAAGTTAGCCTCGACCTAGGAAAGGCCTTATGTAGTTAAAGAGATCGTCCATGACGTGACTTATAAATTACAGGACATGAACGGTAGTCATGTTCCAAGGATATGAAGCACAGATAATTTAAAAGTGTAATATCAATAGCTCAAACTTAGCCAAGCTCACACTTGTAACCCAAAAATTATGGAATAAAGTTGGGATGATCATGTTTTCTATTCACTGTGCATATTAAACTTAGGTTTTGTTAGACCTAATATAACCTCAGCAAAGTTTGACCTGATACTTGCATTAAAGTTCTTAAATCAATTTAAAGTATCCTTGATTATTTAGTTGAATTTTAGGCTCACTTAAATCAAGCTAAGACTTTGACTTATTTTGAATCAAGTTAACATTTGGTTGTCATTTTGAGTCACCCAAGCTAAGTTAACTGAATTTAAGCTATGAGATCATGCAGTGGATTATTATCCCAGCTTAAACTTGAACTCTCTCACTTAAATAATTAAAGAAGTAAAAGGGAAACAAAACTGAACTAAGACAAATAAAAATTTCACTTTCTATTAATTTCTGTAGGATTGGCACAAATAATCATCCATTGAAAGAAGTTTTGGTGAGTGATGTCAGTTGGTATGAAGTCACC